ATATGAATCTTGTAAAGATAAAGCTTATATTGGCATTAATGTATAAAACTGAGAATTCATACTTCTTATCCTCAAAATTAATAATTACAATTTTATTTGAATTCATTAAGAGAGTTGAAACTGAATGCGATAATTTAGTTAATCCATTCAATTCAAAAAAAATTGAATACACAACCAAAATTAGACATAACAGTTCGCATATGAATTCTAAAATTATCGATATATCAAAGTACTTATTTTTTTTAATTTTACTAAAATTTATAATTCTTGAAACGTCTATATAATAATTATAAATGAATTTAATTACTATTGAATATCTAAAATAAACAATATAGACAACTGTTTCAAAATAAATAAATTAAGATCTAAACCAAGAATCTAATCAACAATTTCAGATATATATGAATAATAAAAAACATGAGAAGGCAAGAGAAATATTTCATTAGGCATTAAATGTTGACTTAAAATATATATCAACAGTTGGTGTAAATGAATGACTATATTTGAATGTATTAGCTGATAGAATAATTATTAAATCATGTATTGTAAGGATGCTTGGTTAATATAATGAAGCAACCATTTTGAGCAGATAAATTATTGCAAGTGACCCAAGGTATAGTAAATCAATATGTTCTAATTTATTTTTGATATTGGGCACATAGGCTTAATTCATTAAAATAAAAACGTTTTTTTTAAGTTTACAATTTTTTTAGAAATATAATGAAACAATCCTTTGGGCGGATAAAGCGCTGCAAGTAGATCGAAGTCAGTGTAATTCATAATGTGCTAAAGTTACTTATATTTTTTAATGTGAGTATGAATCATTAAATAAAAATTGACTTATTTTAAGATTAAGATCATTGAAAAAGTTAATAAAAGAGTTAAAAAGGATCTAACAATCTCTAAAAATCAACTCAAATCATTTTGACTCATTAATAGTAAAAGGGTTACTCTAACTTTATATTTCTATTCTATCAGAAAAGGAAAGGATTTAAAAGTTACAACAAGATCAGAATCATTTGAACAGGCCATAAAATTTATCAAAGACTTCATTCAATTATTGATTCTAATTATTAAGATATTGAGATTGAAAAATTATTTTATTTCTAATGATCAGATAGAGGTTTAAAAGCATTAAGGACAAAATGAAAATAGAATATTATTCAAATGCTTCTTATTCTTTTAAATTATACTTATCAGATTTAATGCGCAATGCTAAATTCATTTGAAATATTATTATCAAATTCCAAACAAAAAAAATTTACTTTGCATCAAGAACAAAAAACGATGTGCTATTCAAAATTCTGCAATTACTCTTTAACATGTTTATGATATTTATTATGATAAGATTTTGAAAATCTTCAACTTGGATCATGATTTAAAGGTATTGCATTATAAATAATTAGATTAATTGAAATCTCAAATGAAAGTGGCACTTTCAATTAGTATCATATACCGAGCATTCCTCAAAAAAACCTAAAATTATCAAATGTAAAGTGGCTAAAAATAATTTGAAATGAAATAAACTACAAACATAAATAATGATTCAAATTTTTAACAATTATAATTTCTGGATTATCATATTCAATATTATAAAAGTTGGAGTTCTATATACTATTTTGCTCTTAATTATTACTATTTTAGATCATCAAATAATAAATTAAGGATCAGTTCCTATTGGAATTAATTTTTATTACAACAATAAACCCTCAAAGTTCAATTTAAGAATTGTTTCACTTATTTTATCATTCTGATTTATAACCAAATGATCAAAAACAATTAATTAAAAATGATTTAAATTGTAAAAAGACTAGAAAAGTCAGCTTAAATTTTATTAATTTTATTTTTATCATAAATTTTAGGCTTTACTAAAATTTTAAACTTTGGTCATGAGAAAATATAATGTCTTACAATTGTTAGATTGAATTTAATGATGGAATTATGACTCTAATATCTGATACTTTTGGTTCCTTTTAAATTATTTTAATCACTAAATACAATTATACAAAATTTTAATTTAAATTGATTAATTTTAATTCTATATAAGTATTATCATTAATGTACAATAAAAATACATCAAATAAATGATATTTCATAAATTTCGCATTCCTTTATTTCTGATTTATTTTATCCATATAAATGAGGATGTTCACCTTAATTTTGATATTAATCAAATCGATATGAATCACCTAGCTTACAATAACCATGTCCGCCTCCAAAAGCAGAATTACAATAACTTGCACGATACCTCCTATCTTATTTTAAAGAATAAATTTAATTATGAGTTTGAAACAATATAAATTATTATAATGAATAATATTGCCCATAATTATTTAGATTAGATACCCACTTACAAGGAGAATAA